GGGGCTGGCCGTCCCGCAACCTCCACGGGTGAGGTTCATTTTGTATCAAACCAGAAGTACAACTTTATGTGTCGAGTCGCATTGTTGCTTTGTGTTGGGATTCTTCGGCTCTTGTCCGTTCATAGACCCTCAACTTTCTTGCTCCCGTGCCCCAGAGCTGGCCGATCTCGCCTCCGGCAGGGCGGGATGTGCTGCTATCCCGAATACTTTCGCGCGCAGCCAGCCCGTGCCCGAAGATCACCCCCCCCCCCCCCCCCCCCCCCCCCCCCCCCCCCCCCCCCCCCCCCCCCNCCCCCCCTAGCCAACGTTGCCCCTTCCGGTGTTGTTCGAAAAACAGCACGTTCGCGGTCACCGGTCAACCGGCACCTTTCAAGATAACCAAAACAAGGGGTATGTACAACCCTCTTTCCGATCCCCATCTTTGCGTCGACGAAAAAAGCTCGTGTGTGTTCCACCACTCAACCGGCACTTTTCAAGGCAACAAATGGGCACCCTCTTTAACGGACTTCATTCCCCCCCCCAACTGGCGAAAAAAAAAACTTCCCTCTCACAGCCCGTGTCCGAAGCTGAAGCCCGTAAGCAAGGCGTCCAAGGCGGGGTTCTTGCAGCTGGCGACGCAGCCGTACGGGGGGGGTCTGTGGCACACGTGGTTCGACCGGGACCTCGGGGTGGCGGGCAGGGCGATCGTCAAGCGCGGGGAGGGGAAGTACTCGCACGATTTGGTGAGTGAGTGAGGTTCTCACGATTTTGGGTGTTATTTTTGCTGTTGTTTTTGGTGAGAGGGTACCGTTGGTGGTGGTAGTGTGGTAATGGTGTCGATCGTGACCCAACATGGGAGAGAGGGCGGGGGGGGGTGTACTCATAGTCGTGCATGCCGTAGTCGTTAGACCATTGACCTCGCATCCCTACAAAGCCGGGACGGAGCACGCCGGGTTCTCACCGGACCAGGCTCTCACATCACCAAGCGCGAAGCGCCGTGAGATATTCGGGGGGGATGGAGTTTGACAGACATAAGTAGATAGAGACAAGAGAAAGACGGAGAGTTAGTTAGAGAGATCAATGCGGATAGAGAGATGGCGTCAAGAGACAGACAGGCAGAGAGAGAGACAGACAGACTGAGAGAACAGAGCGAGCGAGAGAGGGAGAGAGAATAGAAAGAGACACAGAGAGACAGAAAGACAAGAGAAACATGAAGCACGGCGCTGGACCCCGATGGTATCGTCCAGTGGCCGATGCCGCCGCACACGAACAGCAAGCCCGAGTACCGTGCCCGCCCGCCCTACCACCACGCACGCCAGGTCAAGATCAACCGCCCGGTCCTTCGGATCCCGACGCTGGCCATCCACCTCACCAAGGCCGACGAGCGGAAAAGCTTCAGCCCCAACCTCCAGAGCAACTTTTTCCCGGTGCTTGCCACAGAGGTGAAGGCGAAGCTCGCCGCCGGTGGTGCCTCTTCGAAGGCTGCCGCGGGGGAAGGGGAGTCTGCGGGCAAAGAGGGGGGGGGGGACGAGAGACACCACGCCCTGCTGGTGGAGCTGGTGGCGGAAGAGTTGGGGTGAGAAGATGAAGAGAGGTGCTCTCAAGTGTTGCCTGCTTTACAGTAGCAGTAGCAGCAGTGGCCTCTTGTGCTTCTTGGTGTTTTTTTATTTTTTCTCCGGGCTGTTTGTGTGTGGGGGCACTGCCGTGACGGCTTAGCGTGTTGTTTGCTGATAGCGGTTTATTTGGTCGGTGCTTTTCGTCTGGCAGCTGTCGTCGTCGGAGAAAGAAACGAAGGAAAAAAAATGGGTTTCGATAGTAAAAGCCCACGTCTTGAGGATAGAGAGGACAGATAGACCCTGCCACCTTAGCTGTCAGGTGCTGGAGAGAGGTAGCGAGCTGTCTCGTCTCGTGCCAGCGTGTCTCGACCAGCACGGCCGCCGTTTTTTTTATCTGTTGTCGTCCGACGGAGACCGACCGGGGACTACGACAACGCTCACGATGATCATCATAAAGGTGCCCGGTGGGAGCCCTCGTTCGGCTCTGTGCACGCAGCAGCAGCAGCAGCAGCAGCAGCAGCAGCAGCAGCAGCAGCAGCAGCAGTAGAACCGTGACACCACCGGCCGGCACCGTGTCGCTTTCCATCCCGCCGTGGCTGCTCTATCTTGTTTTTGACCTCACCTCTCACACACCATGCTACACGCCCCCTCCTCGAGGACGCATGGTCGATGGTCTAACCACTAGGGCGTGCAAATCATGAGTACGGCCCACCCCCGTACCTTTCGGTTGACCACCCTCGAGGAGGCATGTTAACAACGAAGGCATGCAGAATATGAGTACCCCCCCCCCCCCCCC